ACTCAGTCAGCCCATGAGCTTAATCTGCTTTTGGAAACGTGTCGACTTAGCTACATATTTAGGATCGTTGTCCTGTTGATATAAGTTTTGAAAACTTCAAGACATTGGTCGATAATTGCAGGTGCTATTTCAAAAATCCGTTGGTATGTATACATAAAAAAAACAGCTGCATATTATTACACAAATTTTACTAAAACCTCATTCTGGGCGTGCTGTTTTTGCTTTGAAAGCAAAGCTCATTTTACTACTGTTTTTCCACATTTACACATATTTCCACCAAACAATTCCAAGAATTCCAAAATAGAGATTATTCCAAGTACTTCATTGTAAATATTTAACGTTCCCAAATCGAACAAGGTATTTATATGGCTAACATATCTGACGCCAACCACGTTTATAAATGCCAAAACTATCAGTGATTTAAATATCTAAATGCTTTCTCAGATCAATGATTAAAAACGACATCAAAGGAGTGAATCTTTTAAGTCAGAAACGAGGCCAACGTCTCTGAAAATCCTATAGAATGGCACTAGAAAATCACCAATGAAGAACTTGTGAAGAAATCTGAAACAATGCCAACTTCTCAGAAAATCCTACAGACTGGCACTAGAAAATCAGCAATGAACAACTTGTGAAGAAGTGTGAAACAAGGCCAATGTTTCAGAAAATCCTATTGAATGGTACTACATTTTTCCATTCTCCACGACAAAAACATTCCTTTAGTTCATGCAGGTTTTGCAAGTTCTCTGTTTGAATTCTGAGTTTCAGCTCTCTCCATAAATTTTCAATCGGATTGAGATCTGGAGAACAACAAAATAAATACTCGCCAGCGGCGTGAAGTAGGTAAACCACTTGCTAGTGTTGGACTACTTAGACATCATATTACCCCCACTTACAATATTGTCCAACTTATTTATGAGGATTGGGACATACCCGTTGGTGTTCATAGGTACATAGGTATATAACAATATAAGTTCTACACGTTGAAATGATGTAACTATATCAGAAACGCCTTAAATGTTTTTTGTAATATGTTCTAAACTTTTGCATGGCACTGTAATATAATCAAGATGGTGACTTTCCACTATGTGTTAAACAAAAGGTTTGGAAGGGGATTTCCATTAATACCAGAAAGAGCGTTAATAGTTGACTTGAGAAGTTCAACTTCCTGAAAAACCGATTCTAAGAGAAATGATTAATAAATGTCAACCAAAATCAACTCTCTTTTTACGTATAGGGTTGATTTTTCTGCCATGTCTCTTTATTATTTGTAGTCTGTTTAAATTGCCGTTATAGCTAAGGACTAAGGTGTACCTATTGAATACGTGCACAAACACACAGAAATATACAAGGTAGCTCAATTCTCTCAGGACACGCCTTTTAATATCCCTGGGAAGAAATAGGTTCGCCTTATCGTTTGGTTCACACACCTCCCCTGTCTTTTGAACAGAATTAAAGTTTTATCCCCTGTTTACTGCTGAGGACTGTTTTTTTCGATTCTTTCTAAAGTTTTCTTTTCACTCCCAGTAAACATTTGTGTCTTAGTGACATTATTACCTTGCTCTTGGCAAGGGTCGATGATGCAAACCGTATAAAACGCCAGCATAATAACCAGAAGTAATCCAACTATGCCATCTTAGTTCAGCGCCCACCATCAAAACGTGCTGTTTGCAACAAAGTCTGCAGATCCTCATCTGAGCTGAGAGATCACATGGTGGTGATTAGGAAAGCTATAGGCCAGGCAGATCCAGTCAAGGATACAGAGATTATCTGTCATATCTTCCTGGTACCCATGCAATCGTTTGATGGTCTCAAGGGTCATCTTAGAGGTCATAAAAACCGAAAAGAGACGGAAGCTATCGCAAGTGATGCAAGAGGTGAGAGTATGGCTCTCACTTGAGTAAGATATTGTAATCACCACTTATTACATAAAGTGGTTAGTTAATTTTAACGTTTCTAAAACGAAACTGCTCTCTATAAATCAACGAAAAGAACCATTTTTTTGTAATTCCATCAGGTAACCTCTAGGAGAGCAAGTCAATGCTCATTCTTCGTTAAAGGTTTTCCACTGTGTTGAAACTTGACTAATGACCGTTCCTGGAGAATGTGTTGACTGAGTCGCAGTCGGGCAGAGTCTCTGGTTGAATCTCTTGATTCCTCCCTTTCTTCCCGGTACCAACCATATTTATATGGTCGGTACTCCATTATGCAAATTAGCTGGATCCTACCACAGCACACTGTCATGAAGCCGAGTAATTATATCGAATCATTTGCTGTCTATTATCTGGAAAGTAGGTTAACTATGAAGTAGACAAGTTTTCTCACCAAAATCTAACTTGCACCTGGTCAGTATGTAGATGAGTGACCGCTCTGGGAATACCAGTAAATTTGGATGCGCCATATTACATTGAAACTTCGGATTCTTGTACGATCACCAAAGTTAAGCAACGTCGACCTGGTCACTCACCTAGATAGATGAGTGACCGCTTTGGGAATACCAGGTGCTGTAAATTTGGATGCCCGGGATGTGTAATGAACTACCAGCCATATCACATTGAAACTTCAGTTCTTGTACGATCACCAAAGTTAAGCAACGTCGGCCTGGTCAGTATCTAGATGAGTGACCGATCTGGGAATACCAGGTGCTGTAAATTTGGATGCCCGGGATGGTAATGAACTACCAGCCATATCACATTGATGAACGGTCATCAAAGTTAAGCAACGTCGGCCTGGTCAGTATCTAGATGAGTGACCGATCTGGGAATACCAGGTGCTGTAAATTTGGATGCCCGGGATGTGTAATGAACTACCAGCCATATCACAATCAGTATCTAGATGAAACTTACCAGGTGCTGTAAATTTGATGCCGGGATGTAATGAACTACCAGCCATATCACAGTTCTTGTACGATCATCAAAGTTAAGCAACGTCGGCCTGGTCAGTATCTAGATGAGTGACCGATCTGGGAATACCAGGTGCTGTAAATTTGGATGCCCGGGATGTGTAATGAACTACCAGCCATATCACATTGAAACTTCGGATTCTTGTACGATCATCAAAGTTAAGCAACGTCGGCCTGGTCAGTATCTAGATGAGTGACCGATCTGGGAATACCAGGTGCTGTAAATTTGGATGCCCGGGATGTGTAATGAACTACCAGCCATATCACATTGAAACTTCGGATTCTTGTACGATCATCAAAGTTAAGCAACGTTGGCCTGGTCAGTATCTAGATGAGCGACCGATCTGGGAATACCAGGTGCTGTAAATTTGGATGCACAGGATGTGTAATGAACTACCAGCCATATCACATTGAAACTTCGGTTCTTGTACGATCATCAAAGTTAAGCAACGTCGGCCTGGTCAGTATCTAGATGAGCGACCGATCTGGGAATACCAGGTGCTGTAAATTTGGATGCACGGGATGTGTAATGAACTACCAGCCATATCACATTGAAACTTCGGATTCTTGTACGATCATCAAAGTTAAGCAACGTCGGCCTGGTCAGTATCTAGATGAGCGACCGATCTGGGAATACCAGGTGCTGTAAATTTGGATGCACGGGATGTGTAATGAACTACCAGCCATATCACATTGAAACTTCGGATTCTTGTACGATCATCAAAGTTAAGCAACGTCGGCCTGGTCAGTATCTAGATGAGCGACCGATCTGGGAATACCAGGTGCCGTAAATTTGGATGCACGGGATGTGTAATGAACTACCAGCCATATTACATTGAAACTTCGGATTCTTGTACGATCATCAAAGTTAAGCAACGTCGGCCTGGTCAGTATTTAGATGAGTGACCGATCTGGGAATACCAGGTGCTGTAAATTTGGATGCCCGGGATGTGTAATGAACTACCAGCCATATCACATTGAAACTTCGGATTCTTGTACGATCATCAAAGTTAAGCAACGTCGGCCTGGTCAGTATCTAGATGAGCGACCGATCTGGGAATACCAGGTGCCGTAAATTTGGATGCACGGGATGTGTAATGAACTACCAGCCATATTACATTGAAACTTCGGATTCTTGTACGATCATCAAAGTTAAGCAACGTCGGCCTGGTCAGTATCTAGATGAGTGACCGATCTGGGAATACCAGGTGCTGTAAATTTGGATGCCCGGGATGTGTAATGAACTACCAGCCATATCACATTGAAACTTCGGATTCTTGTACGATCATAAAAGTTAAGCAACGTCGGCCTGGTCAGTATCTAGATGAGCGACCGATCTGGGAATACCAGGTGCCGTAAATTTGGTTGCACGGGATGTGTAATGAACTACCAGCCATATTACATTGAAACTTCGGATTCTTGTACGATCATAAAAGTTAAGCAACGTCGGCCTGGTCAGTATCTAGATGAGTGGCCGCTTGGGAATATCAGTTGCGAAAAACTTGGATATGAGGGTTGTGGATTGAGCTTGCAGCCATATCACATTGAAACTCCGATTCTCGCACAATCTCCAAAGTTAAGCAACGTCGACCTGGTTAGTATCTAGATGAGTAACGCTCTGGGAATATCAGGTTCTTTAAATTTGGATGCGCTGTCTGTGTAATGGGCTTACGACCATATCACGTTGAAACATCGGTTCTCGTATGATCACCAAAGTTAAGCAATGTCGGCCTGGTCAGTATCTAGATGGGTGACCGCTTGAGTATACTAGGTGCTATAAGCTTGGGTGTGCGGGTTGTATAATGACCTATAATGGCTCTATCACATTGCATCAATCAGTTCCAGTTGCGGTCAAATTTGTTATATTCACACGAGCAAACAGTCTACGGAAAAGTAGGGGTCCTCTTCATTATTTCCGAAAAGTTGTTACAATTTAAAAAAAATATATATATCCATGGCTTTCAATAGGCTTCAAAAGATTGATAAATCGTAAAAAAACAAATAAGTCAATCTTAGTCTATTCATATGCATCTATCTATATATCTGAATCTGTTTATATCTATCTATCTATCTATCTATCTTATCTGAGTGTATCCAGATCTATCTATCTATATATCTGAATCTGTTCGTATCTATCTATCTATCTATGGCTTTCAATAGTCTTCAAAAGATTGATAAATCGTAAAAAAACAAATAAGTCAATCTTAGTCTATTCATATCTATCTATCTATCTATCTATCTATCTATCTATCTGAATCTGTTCATATCTATCTATCTATCTATCTATCTGAATCTGTTCATATCTGAATCTGTTCATATCTATCTATCTATCTATCTATCTATCTATCTATCTAAAGGGTTTGTTCATATCTATCTATCTATCTATCTATCTATCTATCTATCTATCTATCTATCTCTATTTATCTCTCTATAGAGCTATTCAGTCTGTACAAAACAAAAGAGTCCCTCAAGGTAGAGGGTTACTGAATTAGATTTTTGTAACATGGAATGATTTAAATATACGTGTGGATACGTGCACATGAACAACACGATATCTGTCAGCTTGAATATGTTACCAATTATTCCGGATTCTTGCGTTCCTGTCAACTTCTTCTTGTGTGTGTCGTGTCCCTTCAGGGCCTTGGCGATCATGGCTCTCCACAATTCCCTGTCCTTCGTAGCTCTTTGGTGTGTTTCTTAAAAAATGTTCTTTTTTGTTGTAAAATGTTCAGTCAATACAATGAAAAAGAGTCCCTCAAGGTAGACGGTTAGTGAATTGGATTTTTGTTTCTACAGATTATGAAGACATGTAGCAAACATAACCCTAAATTTACCATAGACTTGAAGAGATTAAGTTAGTACTGATCTGGGAAGCGTCCTCTGGTAGGGGGTGTCTGTTCCAAAAAGAAGCATCCCTTGAGGGCAAGTGGTGCTAAATGAACTTCCTCCTTACCAATGGAATACGAAAGTAATGGGAAAAGGTTTTGATTCAATACTACATGTACCTTATTTTTCTAACGCCAACACTCAAAGCTAAACACAAAGAAAGATATTGCTTTGACCTAATGGACAAGACAAGAAAGTAAAAAGAAAGAAAGAAAAAAGAAAAAGGAAAGAAAAAAGAAAAAGTTAAGCTGGTCGTCCTGGTCAGTATCTAGATGAGTGACCTCTTGGGAATACAAGGTGCTGTAAATTTGGATGCGAGTTTTGTGCAATGGTGTAAGGTTGGTGCGCAGATTGTGTAATGTCCTTACGACGATATCACGTTGATACGATCATCAAACATAAGCAACGTCGGCCAGGTCAGTATTTAGATGGGTGACCGCTTGAGAATACCAGGTGCTGTAAGCTTGGATGTGCCGGTGGTGTAATGAACTTACGGCTCAGTATTTATATTAGTCGGACTATTGTCCTCATCTTTGTCGCCATATTTGTCACAACGTTTCGGCTGTTGTACGCTCCGGCCTTCTTCAGGTGGTTGGAATTTCGAACTGAACCCTTTATTTCGATCACTGGGGTAGACTGTTCTAGTTCCACGTGCCATGTTTGATGGATGTCAGAAGAATTCATCACATTCTTTTAATCTAAAACACGAAGAAGAAGGAAAGAAAGAAAGGGAGTAAGAAAAACATATTCGAAATGATGAAAAGCGAAATAGCAAAGGAAAATAAAGAAAAAGAAAAACGAAAGAAAGAACACGGTATCTTGTGATGTAAAAAAGAAAACTTTTCGAAAAATAAGAAGTAAAAAGGAAAACAAACAGAAAGAAAGAAAGACAAATAAGGAAAAGAAAAGTATTCAAAAAGATTGAAAGCGAACAAAGTAAGAAAAGAGAAAGAAAGAAGAAAGAAAGAAAGAAAGAAAGAACGAAGAATCTTCTAATATAAAAAGGAAAAAGAAAAGAAAAACTCTTCGAAAATAAAAAGGAAAATAAATAATATACAAGAAGAAAGAAAGAAAGAAAGTCGGAAAAGGTAAGAAAAAAGAAAGAAAGAAGAGAAAGACAAATAGGCTTTTCGAAAATAATATAAGGAAAAGGAAAAAAATGAACAACACGAAAAAGAAAGAAAGGAAGGAAGTAAGGAAGGAAGGAAGGCATAGAGGTAGGAGGGAGAAAGAAAGGATAGGAGGACAAGGAATGAATGAAAGAAGGAACGACAGAAGGAACGATGGAGGATAGGAGAGAGAAAGGCTGGCAGGCAGGAAGGAAGGAAGGAAGGAAGGAAGAAGAAGAAGGCAGGGAGAACGGAGGGAGAGAGGAAAGAAGTGCAGAAGCAATGAAGAAAGAAAGAAGGAAGGAAGGAAGGAGAGAAGGCAGGAAGAAAGGACAGAAGGAAGAAAGGAAAAAGGATGGAGAGGGAAGAGAAAGGAAGGAAAGACAGAAGGAAGGAAGGAAGGAAAGAAGGAAGGAAAGAAGGAAGGAAGGAAGGAAGAAAGGCATAGAGGTAGGAGGGAGAAAGAAAGGATAGGAGGACAAGGAATGAATGAAAGAAGGAACGACAGAAGGAACGATGGAGGATAGGAGAGAGAAAGGCTGGCAGGCAGGAAGGAAGGAAGGAAGGAAGGAAGGCATAGAGGTAGGAGGGAGAAAGAAAGGATAGGAGGACAAGGAATGAATGAAAGAAGGAACGACAGAAGGAACGATGGAGGATAGGAGAGAGAAAGGCTGGCAGGCAGGAAGGAAGGAAGGAAGGAGAAGAAGGCAGGGAGAACGGAGGGAGAGAGGAAGGAAGTGCAGAAGCAATGAAGAAAGAAAGAAGGAAGGAAGGAAGGAGAGAAGGCAGGAAGAAAGGACAGAAGGAAGAAAGGAAAAAGGAGGGAGAGGGAAGAGAAAGGAAGGAAAGAGAGAAGGAAGGAAGGAAGGAAAGAAGGAAGGAAGGAAGGAAGAGAAAAGAAAGAAAGAAGAAAAAGACAAATAGGCTTTTCGAAAATAATATAAGGAAAAGGAAAAAAATGAACACGAAAAAGAAAGAAAGAAAGAAAGTCGGAAAAGGTAAGAGAAAAGAAAGAAAGAAGAGAAAAACAAATAGGCTTTTCGAAAATAATATAAGGAAAAGGAAAAAAATGAACTCGAAAAAGAAAGAAAGAAAGAAAGTCGGAAAAGGTAAGAGAAAAGAAAGAAAGAATAGAAAGACAAATAGGCTTTTCGAAAATAATATAAGGAAAAGGAAAAAAATGAACAACACGAAAAAGAAAGAAAGAAAGAAAGAAAGGAACTTGCAAAACCGAAGAAAGAGAATAGCACCAAGGAGGTAAGGTAGAAAATAGAAAAGAAAAAGCAAAGAAAAAGAAAAGAAAAGGAAAATGTAAAAACGGGTAGAAAAAAAAATAAGAAAAAAAAATAAGTAGAAATCCAGAATAAAAAGAGGATATGAAAGAAAGAACGAATGAAAGAACAGTGATGTACATGAAACAAAAGAAAGAAAGAAAAAAAAAAAAAACAAAGAAAAAAGGTGTGAAGAATCACAGACAGTATTTATTTCATTGAGAACATCGTACACGAAGAATGAATGAATGATTTGATGTAAGCGTTAAGCTTTCTTTTTCATCTGGCACCCTATTCTCCCTAAGGATACGTTGTCAGAATAAGTAATACAATAAAAGGTAACTTCATACTTTTTTGCTGCCCATTCGACTTCATAAAGCAACGATAACTGATTCGAAACGTCATCGCCTGCCGACTGTCTCGTTGGTGCTGAGGCAAAAAAAAAAAGACCAAAAAAAACATGCAAAACCAAAACGAAAAGAAACAAAAGACAATGACAAAAAAAAAAAAATAATTTGTTAAATCCTTCAGAACATCTAACGAAATTAACACGCAATAATATACTTGCAGCATCATAAGAAAAATTCTCTGCTGACATATTGTTTTTTTTTTTCAAAAGGAACCTAATCACGAAAAGGAGGAAAGCTAATGCGCATGCGTCAAATGCAGTCCTCTGAGTGTCATAAAACGGAATCCGATGGTGACCAATGATCGTGCGTAGAATGTTGTGATTATGTGTTTTTTTTATCTATACACGGGCAGTAGAGTGTGCATGAGGACAAATTAGAAAAATATATCCGTTTATGGAAGAGAGTAACAAAAAAGGGAAAAGTTGAAAAGACTTCAAATAAAGGTGTACGGCGGTTTACGTTCAATTCACAGTGAGAAAGGGAGGTAAGGCCCGTGTATACTCGTCATTTTGACTAAGTACCTTTGCAATAAAATCTGGCAAATACGGAGGGTGGGTACGCTTTGTAACATTCTCTAGTAAATGACTTCTTTTTCTTTTATGTTCCGTATCCCTTCAGGACGTTAGCGATCATGGCCCTCCACATCTTTTTGTCTCTTGTAGCTCTTAATAAGTTTTGTTCTTTTGTTATGTTTATTTTTCTCCCCAGAAAATACATTACATATTTATGTCTACCATTCATCCTTGCTTTGAATATTTCTGCCACATCTGGTGCGACTGTAAGATACTTAGAGATTCTTAATCAAATCCAAAGAAAAATCTGCAATGTTATTGATACTAACCTGATATCTCGGTTTTAGTCACTTCCCCACCGCGTAATGTAGCTTCCCTGTGCATTTTTCTACAAATATTTCCATGATAATTGTTTTGAGGAAAATTTCCTCTGTGGTACCTTGATTTTACGAATTTAAGCTCTGTACTAGATTGGCGGCAATGTCTCGTCAATGTACAGTTGAAATGATTAGCTATTACCGTAAGTTCTATGCTAATAGGTTCTTCTATCACAATTCTCACTTGTGGAACTCTATTCCAGTTGCTTGTTTCCTAGACAAATTTGATCATCAAAAAATTAATGCAATATCAATCGTTTTCTTAATACATATTCTTTTATTGTCCTCGTTCATTAATAGTATTTCTTCTTATATTTTCTAACACTCAGTGGCCTCTTGCGTCTTAGTGGCTTTATTGCCTTGCTTGGGGGTGAATTGTTTAAAAACAAATTGTTAACCGGGGAGCCGAGTTCCAATTCCAGTTGGGTTCGTTATATTCAATTCAGCGCAAATACACTTGGGAAAAGGCATGAATCCAACACTTCTTCCCCAAAATATGGGTTAATTACTAAGACTTGTATCACTAAGCCATTATTATACTCCATCACATTCTTTTAATCTAAAAATATTTTCTGGCTTTAAATAAACGGCAATGGGTTGATAAACCAGAGAAGACAATTTAATCTATCTATCTATCTATCTATCTATCTATCTATCTATCTATCTATCTTTTTCCACTGTCTCTCCCTCTCTGTCTGTCTCTGTCTCTCTATATAAGTACATACATACATATATATACACACACACACACACAAACACGCACACACACACACATATATATATATATAAAGTGTGTTCCAATAACTTGGACCGAATTTAAATGTGTATTAAGTTTAAATGACTAATGATTTTTTTCTTTTGCTTTCAGATTTGACAGACATTTGGGCGATATTATTTTTCACACATAATTCCCATGACTTTAATTATGTTTTTTTTTATTTATATACGATGATCTAATAGAGAAATAAAAAAAATTTCAGCAATAACACTGATTTATTTACTGCTGATTTTGATCCGTTTTAATGAAACACCCTTATATATAATCCTTCTTAATAAAGCACACGCACACTATATATATATATATATATATATATATATATATATGTGTGTGTGTGTGTGTGTGTGTGTGTGTGTGTGTGTGTGTGTGTGTGTGAATAATACTGAACTATCTCCTCGTTTATCCTCAACCGACAGCCAGACTCCCCCACATATGACTTGATTACAGTGGTGAAGGCTTTGTGCAGAACCAAGCAATCATTTTGAAGGGCCTTATACAGAGACCTGATGCACCACGTGCCACCACAAGGTACGCAAACGACCCTCTGCAGGTTATGACTTTAGAGTCATCCTTCTCCTAGACCAGTTGTCATCCAAGTCTATAAAACCCAGTTTGTCCTGCTATTTACCCATAGGTGGGGATCGGAAAAGAATAGGATTCATAACTAAAATTCGATTTATTTTTTCAGTAAAATCTATAAAATCTGCCATTTGTAAATAAAAGTTAATTCTCGGTTTTAAAAATTTTGCAAAAATAAAATATATATTTCTGAATCCTTATTTGAGGAAAATTAGCAAATTTAATGTTAAATTAATCTGATTTGAAGGAAATACTTATGGCATAAAATCTTGTATGCAAGCATTTTTTAATCACGAGGTCTTGATTTTCTGATGTATCGATCGATTTATCGACCACCTAACGTGCTGACAAGTTAAATATAATGACGCACAATTGCTAGCAGAAAATAATTTTTGTATGTTTCTTCTTCCGTAAGTGGGTACAACTCTTAAAACACGGGACCTTTTAATGATAATGTCATGTACTAACTCCCATACGTAGAAAAATTAGGACGTTTTAACACAAAAATATTGAAATTCTTTTTAAAAATATTCAAGGTCGATAGATTTTAATAAGCATTACAAGATATGAGCAGTAAATATAGTTTTACTTAAAAGCATTATTTCCTAAGATTTACACCACTGAAACTGAAATTTAAAAGTTTTAAAAACTTTATAAATTATTCGATTTAAAATTATAAAAAAAATGAAAACAAATCTTGCGAAAGTTCATTTTTCATCTAAGGTTTTTTTTCTTCAGAGAATATTGTCTTTAATATATTTTATAATTATAAATTAAACTCACTATAAATTAAACTCACTACAGTCTCCAAAACTAGCTTGTTGGCTCTCATGGTGATAGACAATGACATTCAATCTTAATCTCTTTAAGTCTACGATTAACCGTTAACTATCGTACATATATCCCTAAAATATGTATCGTAACTCCCCATGTATAATACGCATTTTTCTAAAAAAAAAAAATAAGCAAAATCAAGGGTGCGTATTATGCACAGCTATAAAAGATCTTTAAATAATTGCCTAAAATAAAATAAGAATTATCATAAAACTAAATTAGAATATCATTCTATGTTTAAAACCATTTTTTAAATAAGAATAGGAAACGCTGGACGTAATGAAATTGAAGAGGTACAATTTATAGGGTTTGATTACCAAATAAGGGGTGCGTATTATGCATGGGTAGAATCATTTTCCCACACTTTCAGCACAATTTTAGGTGTGCGTATTTTGAATGAAGGCGTATTATACATGGGGAATTACGTTATTTAATTCCTTCCTCCTCCAGGAATACTCTACCTTGAGTGGCCTTGGGCCTTTTATTGGGCGAACAATAGTATTTATGAAAAAAAAACAAACAGAAGCTGCCAAACGCAGGTGACGCTGTGTATGTGTATCGGGGAGGGGGGCATCCAGTGGCGATCATATCCGCTCCATCAGCAATGGTCATAATGTTAACATTGTAAACATTTATTTATTCTTTCTTTCTTTCTTTCTTTCTTTCTTTCTTTCTTTCTTTCTTTCTTTCTTTCTTTCTTTCGTTCGTTCCCAAACTCCAACCATTTTCAATTTTTTTTTCTCTCCCTTTTCTTTCTTTCTTTCTTTCTTTCTTTCTTTCTTTCTTTCTTTCTTTCCATCCCATAATTTTTATTCCATTTCCTGGTTCCTACTTCCTCTCCA